AGAGGTATTAACCATGATATATATTAAAAAGAAATATGTGTTTGGAATATAAAATATATACAAAAAATAAAAATATGTATATAAAATTGTATTAAAATGCTGGATTTCGTCCACTTTTGTATTGTGGAATGGAAAGCTAGGAGAGCGGGGCATCACAGTTTGCGATGGAAAATATTGCAGTGAAATTATCAAGAAGCAATCGTTACTGTTGCACAGTACTAAATATTGCCATACATATGCCTTTTGCAAAATAAACTAGATAGAAAGCCTATCAGGCTTTCGATGAATGCCCTTTTGCGCCGAATTTGAAACAGTCAAACTGTTAACAGTAATGGTTGTTGCTTCAGTTTTAACATGTGCACTCGTGCTGGTAAATATTTTGTTCTTTTCTTGCACAGGGGGAAAAGAGCGTAGCGAAAATGTTTCATCTTAGAGCTGCGTGATATCATAACGATTGCCGCGAATTTTGCATGAAGGTGTTGACAGCAAGGCAAACTCTCGAATTTACCTTATCCATACGCAAAACATTGGGACCCCGTTTTCACTGGCGCGCAAGATACGGCAGCATTTTGCAAAATTTCTTCAATGTATGACCACCGAGGGAGAAGGATGCAAAAAGTATGACAGTCTGAACATTTGACGTGTCTGTGTGTGACGACAAATGCAAAAACAGAAGCTAATTTTGCGCTTAAAAACTTTCACACAGATCGTAAAATTCTCACTAAATTTCATGTACAATTCCACAAACTCAAATTCAGTCCGCGGGTGAGCCTACGTTTCTCACGCAGACATGTAAAATCTTTAGTGGGAAATTTCGCAACTTAAGAACCGAGCAAAATATGAAAGCTTTAACAGCAAATGCCTACTGGACGGGACTGCGCAAAAAGCCTGGTCGCGCTCGACCATCCTAGTGCGCATCGCTGTTCGAAAATCACGGTTTCGAGAAGCAGCTTCGCAGTGCTTTTTATGCGCTTTTACATTTACGCACATACAAAAACGCACTCATGGTGTGTGTATGTGTGTATGTTCATATGTGCATATGTGTGTGAGTCTGTCGAAGTATTTCAGCTCGGTAATCACGCAAGCTCTGGCTCTGAAATTTCTCCAACAGGTTCCCTGGCCTAGCGCTGCCCCAGAGACGTGCTTATTGCATGTCTGAATTCGCATGCGAGAGCGAAAAATTTATTAACGGAAAGTTCCTGACTTAGAGACACGAAAGCTGAAGCTCTAGTTGATGCTTCCTGTCCACGTACAATTTAAAGATTTCAAATTCAGCTTCCCTGGTACGTGGAATACCTACGTATGGGAATGTGAAAGTTTCGGCGGGAAAATTGCTAACTCGGAAACCAGATAAGTTGGAAGGCCGAAATTTTGAGAGAATATTCCCTATCCAGGTACAGCTCAAATTTCTCAATTTCAGCCCTGAGCTTTGCGTAGACTCACATAAGGGGGCGTATGAAAGTTTCTGCGGGAAAATTACTAACTCGGTAACTAGAAAAGCTGGAAAGCTGAAATTTTGAGGGAGTGTTCCCTGTCCAAGAACAACTTAAGTATATCAAATTCAGCCTTGAGGTACGCGTGGTTCCTACGTACGGGCACTTAAATTCTTGGCGGAAAAATTCCTCACTGAACAGTTAAGTTATTTTTAAAGAACGACCGTTAAATGGAAATTGTACATTTACTTTATGCAAAATTTATGATGATTTATGCCAGTGACCGCAAAACGTAGGTGTAAAGCAACAACCATTCACGCAGTTAATGACCTGGGTACTTCAAGTCCGCTGCAAAAACGCATGATCGCACGGGCCCGCCCGGTGCGTTCCAGCCAGGTTTTGTTTTGATGATCTAGGTGAAAAATTTCTCCGGTCTCCCAAATCCAATATTTTGGTTTTTCTCTCCTAAATGCTAGGCGAATCTATCAAAGTAATAGTAGGTAAAATTTATGTTAACTGTTTGTTTAGAAGGATGGGAAGGAAGATGGTCAGGAATGGAGAAGTTCTGAGGGAACAAATTGAAAAGATGAGAGAATATCGCCACTTCAAAGGTGATGGTACTTCAAAAACTATTTCAATGAGTAGACTGCACATTGCTTCTGTAAACATCATGTGAAACAAGTTCTAAATCAGGACCGAACAACTCCTGCTTGCTTCGTCATTTCTTCGCTCCTGAATCCCCTTTTATGGGCCCCTTGCTTATCCCATAGAGAGTAGCAGCTCTCCTTTTCTCGCTAGTTGCGTGCCTCTTTTGGATAGATTTTTTACAAGTCTTTTTTTAAGCACTGCAACCGTCATACTGACGAAGTCCTGTTACGATGTTGAGTTGAGGAACGTCTTATCTCGCTCTTACCTTTTTTTCTCATACTGTTTTTTCACGCTGTAATCTACCGCTCCTTCGCTGGGGTCAACCTGCTTGCTACAATCGGCTTAATATTCCAGTGCTTCAAAGTTTGGTCAGCTGCATTTAACAATGTCGTTCTCTAATTGTGCAGATGGTGTCTATTCCATTTGCTTTGACCGATAACATCATCCTGTAGTCAGCAATCTGGCGATTTTTGCATTTGTTACGTTCGGCTCTGCTATGTGTCGAAGTATTTCTGAAAAAGATACATCGGACACACACAATACAAACACAACATACACAGACAATCCCGTGACAACAGACGTTTCGTACAGCTGTCACACAACACAAAACGCATAAAAATTGACTTCCGACGAGTTTTGAGTGTTTTTTTGGCCTCTGCATTCTTTTCTTGTTACAGATATGTTTACTGCATAATGAATATAAACCATCTTCTGATCAGTTCACGTTTTGCAATAATCCTACGATCAGTCCTCCTTACAGTTTTTGAAGCGACTATTACGGTAGGTTATACTGCACTAGTAGACTTTTGAGGTATTTTTAGCTCTTTATTGTTAACTACAACTGTAATTGCTGCGAACATGCTAAGTAATTTTCCCCAATTTTCGATTTTAGCAGTTTTGCGCCTCACTCGTTCACCTCAAGAGCAAGTCCTGGGTATTTTTTTTTTATTTCTTAGCTTCAGAACAAAGGGAGCCAGGTGATTATTAGTTTATTCGTTCCTAAAGAGTGCAGAATAAATAATATGGGTTATTAAAGCAATGAAATTAAACCCAGGTTGCAACGCATCAGACTTGTCGTTGCGATCGTGCGTTTTTGCGCTAAACTTGTAGATTGTTAATAGCAGGAATGGTTCCTGCATTGTAGTCTAACGCTTGGGCTCATACTGACTGTGTTTTGGCCCC